AGGTCTAAATTATGTCAAAAGTGTGTCCAACCTCCTCAAAATACCATTTTTTCATGTATATATACCAAGTAGGGTTGGGCCCAAATAATTATACCTTCTCCTACGCGAAAAAGGACAATTGTTCAGGTCTGGACGCTCGGGGTCGCGGTTCGGGCGCGGTATTTTCACAGTGCACTGCCTCAGTCCGCGTATAGGTCCGCAGTCACGGTTTCGACCGCGTTTTTCACCCTGTTCCGTTTGGAATTTGGAAAAACATAAAAAAAGAAAGTTATATCCCTCTGAGTTATCTTTCCAACCATATATTATACAGCCCAAATAGAATTTGGAGAAAAAAGTTATGTCCATTTTACTATACAGTGCACAATATGCCTACTCGAATCTTCGTTCGTTCTTAACTATCAAATTTGACCCCCGAATATGATCCCGGCTTAATTCCTTGGTCTTTTACTCAGACTTTAAAGCTCCAAATCACTTGAATTCATTCCATAACATCTATATAGCTCGGAATCACTCCTACAAGGCATAAAACACACAGTTAGTACAAAACACTAGCGATTAAAGCTCAAACTCAATTAAAGTGCAGAAAATTAGAGTGTAATCAGCGACTAAAATACGCAATTATAGCCTATCATCAATAGGCTGACCAAGTCAGCATATTTTACTCCTGTGGCAGTTACCTATTCTTCAGAGCGGTTGGCTGAGATTTACATCCACGAGATCGTCCGTCTTCACGGTGTGCCCGTGTCTATCATTCTGACCGAGGTACGCAGTTCACCTCGCACTTCTGGAGGGTAGTACAACATGAGTTGGGCATGCAGGTTGAGTTGAGCATAACATTTCATCCTTAGACGGACGGACAGTCCGAGCTCACTATTCAGATATTGGAGGATATGCTCCGCGCTTGTGTTATAGACTTCGGAGGTTCTTAGGATCAATTATTGCCACTTGCGGAGTTTGCCTACAACAATAGCTACCAGTCGAGAATTCAGATGGCTCCTTATGAGGCATTATACGGTAGGTGGTGCCGATCGCCAGTTGGATAGTTCGAGCTGGGGGAGGCTCGATTGTTGGCTACATATTTGGTACAGGATGCCTTTGATAAGGTCAAGATTATTCAGGATGGACTTCGCACAGCTTAGTCCAGGCAGAAGAGTTATGCCGACCGTAGAGTTCGTGATGTTTCATTCATAGTCGGGGAGCGGGCGTTGCTCCGGGTTTCACCCATGAAGGGTGTGATGAGGTTCGGAAAGAAGGGCAAGTTGAGCCCTAGATATACCGGACCTTTTGAGATTCTTCAGAGAGTGGGTGAGGTGGCTTACAAGCTTGCATTGCCACCAGTTTATCAGCAGTTCATCCGGTATTCCATGTGTCCATGCTCCGAAAGTATCACGGTGATCCGTCCCACGTGTTAGATTTCAGCTCTGTCCAGTTGGAAAAAGATCTGACTTATGAGGAGGAGCCGGTGGTTATTCTAGCCTGGCAGGTTCGTCAGTTGAGGTCGAAGAGTTATCTTTCAGTTCGAGTGTAGTGGAGAGGTCAACCCGTCGAGACAGCTACTTGGGAGTCCGAGTCGAACATGCGAAGTAGATATCCACACCTTTTCACCAGCCCAGATACTTTTTAATGTCCGTTCGAGGATGAATGGTTGTTTTAGAGGTGGAGAATGTGAGACCCGATAGGTCGTCTTATGTTTTAAAACCTAATTCTATGTTTCAAAGCCTTAAATACCTCATTTTATCCTTCCTCGATTTGCGTGTGCAGTCAGGGTGTTTTTTCGGAAAGCTTTTATGTTAAAAACTGATAAAATATGAAATTTTTGGTTTGAAATCCATTAGAGTTGACTTCAGTCAACATTTTGAGCAAATGGACCCGGATTTGTGTTTTGACGGTCCTGGTGGGTCCGTATCGTGATTTGGGACTTGGGTGTATGCCTAGAATTGAATTCGGAAGTCCCTCGCCCGAGTTATCGCACTTTGTTGAAATTTGAAAATTAAATGCTTAATGACTTTGAAAGTTTGACCAATATTTGACTTTATTGATATCGGGTTCATATTTTAGTTCCGGAACCCGGTATAGGTCCATTACTATATTTATGACTTGTCTGTCAAATTTGGTGAGAAACGGAGTTGGTTTGACGTGATTCGGACGTCCGGTTGCAAAAATAGAAGTTTCAAAGTTTTCTTGAAATTTTCATTTGATTTGGTGTTCAATTCGTAGTTTTAGGTTCTATTTTGGCTATTCGACCGCGCGAGCAAGTTCGTATGATATGTTTGGACTTGTGTGCATTTTGGTTTGGAGCCCCGAGGGCTCGGGTGAGTTTCGGATAGGCTACAGAGTGAATTGGACTTAGAAAATATAGTTGATGCATCAGTTCTGCAGATCTCGCATTAGCGAGGACTTGACAGCAAATGCGAGCCTCACAAATGCGAAGTCAAGCTCGTACTTGCGTAGAGGGAGGGGGTTGGGTCAGCTTCGCTTTTGCGAAGAGAAGCCCGCAAATGCGATGGGGGCAGGGTTCGCATTTGCGGGGAAATTGTTGCATTTGCGACTGGAGTCAGACCAAGGTAGACTCGCATTTGCGAGTCAAAAGTTTGCTTTTGCGAAGGGCCTTGGCTCGCATTTGCGCATTTCCTAAGACTTCAACCTAAAATCTAGTGTTTCATGGTGAAAATTAGTGGTTTGGGTAGAACTAGAGATTTTTGTGAAATTGGGATTTAGACCTCAAATTGAGGTCGAATTCCAAAATAAATTATATAACGGGCTCGGGGGTGAATGGGTAATCGAATTTTGGTCCAAATTTCGGGTTTGGAGCAAGCGAGCCCGGGAGTTAACTTTTGTTGACTTTTTTAATAGTGACCTAAATTGAATCTTTTGCAATCGTGGGTGATTCCTAAGGCTTATTTTGAATTGTATGGTTGGTAATTTGCTAGATATTGTTGGTTCGGAGACTTGTTTGAAAGGCAAAGATGTGGTTGAGCTTTGAGTGGTCTTTGATGCGAGGTAAGTGTTGTGTCTAACCTTGACTTGAGGGAATTAGGAACCCTCAGACTATGTGCTATGTCAATTTCATGTGAGCGGCGTATATACGAGGTGACGAGTGCTTATACGCCACCGAATTACTTTTTTTCCCTGATTTCCCGTTGTTCTTTAATTATCTTTTCCCTGTCTTAAATGTTATATTCCCTAAATGCTTTCCATGCTTACTTGCCACCTGTTTATCGATGTCCTCCCCTGTTAATGATGTTAAATATTTTTATAGTTTCATTATTCCCTGCTATTCGCTTAAACTGACTTACTTGCACCTTCTAATTGTCAATTACTGGACTGGTCTCGTTGTGTATTATTACTTACATAGATTCCTATGTTGTATAAGGTTTCCTTTTGGTTCAGTTTGGTACTTATTGATCGTAAAGGTTTTCGTGGTTTGAATTGTTAATTTGACTGTGCACATTGAGTATTTGGTACTGATATGGTGGGATTGGGTTGCACACCGCAACAGGTCAAATGAGGGTGGATTAATATGGTGGAATAAGGGTAAAATTGTACTGTACGGTGGGATCGGGTTGCACGCCATTACAGGTGGAATAAGGGTGGATTGATATGGTAAAATAATGGTGAATTATGATACTGATATTGATAGTTTTATATTATTTCAAACCCTTCTTTTCTTTTTATTTAGTTGTGTACCTTCTTTTCAGACAACTTTATGTTATTTCAGACCCTTATATGTACTATTCTAGCAGCTCGTGCACTTGTGACACCGGGTTCAGGGATGTATTAATGTTGGGCTGTTTAACTTCCGCATTATTACTTTGGATTATTGCAGTAATTTCGGTTCTTTTCTCAGTGACTAATATTAAACTGTTAAAAATGGATAGAATGTTTTAACGTTAGTTTGCATGCCTAGCAAGTGAAATGTTTGGTGTTATCACGATCCCAATGGTAGAAATTCCGGGTCGTGACATAGACACCATACTAAACGACCCCTAAAAAGTATATAAGTGTTACATCAATCTACATTCTTTTTCTTTTCCTTCTATATATAGTGGTGCTTTTCATTAAGAGCGAAATTGGGTGGGTCAGCGTTACAAAAAATAGAAATCCTATCTACTTGCACCAAAAATAGTTGTTTATAGCACTATTAGTTAGGTAAAATAAATGAAAAGTAATTAGAAAAGAAATTTTTTCAAAAGCGACAAGAGTAAATAATTTAGAATTAAAACCAAATGACACAAGAAGCGAAACTCTCCCTGATCCATAAAATTGTAACCTATCCAATTCATCAAAACTTGAGCTGGGAATTCAAATCTATCTTTTATGAAACTCATTTTGACATGAACAGGCTTTAGCTTAATATATTTATGTTGGCAAACGGCAACAAGTTTTACAATTGGCCAACTGGACACAAGGAGTTGTTCACTATTTTAAGTAGTTAGCAAATCCAAGTTTTACAATTGGTCAACATTGGGAAATACTAGTGGATTCACGAGGTGAGGAACTAATAACCCGTTTGACCAAGCTGCAAAAATCAGCTTATTTTGAGAAGTGCTTTTTTTTAAAAGTGTTTTTCTCAAAAGTACTTTTGATGAGAAGCAGTTTGTGTTTGGCTAATTAATTTGAAAAACACTTCCGAGCAGCAATTAGTGTTTGATCAAGCTTTAAAAAACTGCTTCTAAGTGTATTTTTCTCAAAAGTGCTTCTCAGAAAAGTGCTTTTGGAGAGAAACTACTTTTTTCTGCTTCTCCAAAACTGCTTCTGTTTTTCCTCAAAAGTACTTTTTTTCCTTCCAAAAGCTTGGCCAAACACCTTAATTTTTGGTGAAAAGTGCTTTTGGCAAAAAAAAAAAAAAAATACTTTGAGCCAAAAAAAACTTGGCAGCTATAAGAATGAAATAGTCTTATGAACATGAACAGATACAAACGTCACATAGTAGGATAAAGTTTATTCAGTTTTATTACACACACTTCCCCACACAACCCAGTACCCACCCACCTAACCCTTTACCCTCTCCCACACGTCCTCATCACGTTTTGTACTACTCTAAAATAAATAGATTATGTTATATAGCAAGAAAACTACATTTTGTAACATCAGCGTTTAGGTAAAAGGAAAAAGCAGTAATTGCAGCTTTTAAAGTACAGCAGTTGCTGCAACTTTCTACTTCTAGACCCTCTCCTATACCATCATCACTCATTCTTTCATATAGGCCATTCCTTTTCTGTTTCACATAATCCTAAAGCTAAAATCTTCCTATTTCTTTTCACAGACACCATTTGATCATTCTTTGAGAAACAACAAAAGGAAGATGAGACCCAAGATTTATCTGTTTGGAGATTCCATCACTGAGATGTCCTTTGAGGATGGTGGCTGGGGTGCTTCTCTTGTCAACCACTTTAACCGCACGGTATATATATATATATATGCAACACCGTTTAATTAGTTCATCTTTTTTTTTTTCCTCTTGTTATGGATTTTATTTTTTATATTTTAGGTGGATGTGGTGTTAAGAGGGTATAGTGGGTATAACACAAGGTGGGCATTAAAGGTGATAGAGAAAGTTTTTGATGAGGAAATAGTTACAGCGCCATTGGCAGTGACAGTGTTCTTTGGAGCAAATGATGCTTGTCTCCCTGATAGATGCTCTGCCTTTCAACATGTTCCTATTGATGAGTACAAGCTGAATCTTCATTCCATTGTCTCCTTTCTCAAGGTATATCAATCCTCTCTCCACACGTGCAAGGTGTACACATAAATTTTTGTAAACGGTGTCGAAATTTATAAAAGAATTGAAATATAACTTTGATTTTCATACTTTTAAACAAGAAATAACATTTGTCTATTGATTTTGTTGAGTCTTAAGTTACAAAAGGTCCTGAGTATTTGCAAAAGAAAAATGTGCTAGTTAGGTTTGAACCTTTTGACCTCTTAGAGAAAAAATCAAACACATTACAAACACAGCAAGACACAATTTATGTTTAGTGAGTGTCATTTTTTCCTACTTATCTGTTTCCGTACAGTATAAATACATATATTTAGTAAAATTTCCCAAGGAACCGGTTTCGCGTGACATCGCTTCGGTAAGCGTAAATCCGCCCCTGCGTGCAAACCTCATAAACCTCTCCTTCGAATACCCTTTGTTTTCATCTCCTTGAATCTGATCATACATGGGGATTTGCAGTTCTTGAAAATTGATAAAGGTATTTGTTGCTAATGGTAGCGGTGGTAGCTGTAACCGTGCTGGATCACGTGCGTGGATTGATTTTTTTAATTTTGTTAGGTAGCCAATCAATTGCATCTATTACTATTAAATAAGCTTTGCGAAACGCTGATAATTCTTTTTTCTTTTTGCCTTGTTTAAAATATTTTCTTCTTGTGTTTGTGTGTTGTATGATTACCTTCGTTTATTTGCGTATTTGACCATTTAAAATTTGGTAGGTACTGAATGCACCAATTGGGTTTGTTTGAAATAAGCACCAAAATCTGTCCGATAGTGAAAAACAATTACCACCACCACACAACCCCCTCCCCCCC